ATATAAATATATTTGCATATGTACATGTCACTATCTAGACCTCTATAAATGCCCTTTTCCTCCCAGCTCTTTCATCTATTTCCCTTAAACAGGAAGTTTTATATTTAATGTTTGTTTAGTAATAATAAAATCTGAAGACTATGTTACAAAGTGGTGTTAATTTTCTATACAAGGATGGTTACGGATTAACTTTTGTGTCCAAGGGAAAAAGATGAGGCTGTCTATTCCCATAAAGAGTTACATTCTCAAATATCCACAGGTACAGTTCTATTCCGTCCTATACGGTCACTATGAGTCGGAATCAACTGAATGGTATTGTTTTTGGTTTGTTGTAAGAGGGACCTTATGAGGCATCTGACTACACTGCCAGCTCAGTCCATTTTCCAAGTGTCAAGGTGTGGCAGTTAGATGTTATGTCAAGTTGAACCTGAGTGAAAGGGAATGGGTCAAGTGTAACCTGTCAATCAGGTTAAAGCCTGCTGATGCCTCCTTGGGGTGTGGCCTTTTTAAAAGAGAGATACTGGGAACTTCTCCTTACCCTAGCTCTTCACCTTTACCTTTCTCCTTACTGGGACTTTGTCTGCCTCCAGACGTGGCTTTATGTGGACTGCCCAATCATGGGAGCTGTCACCCTGCTGCTTTCCCACCGACCTTGGATCTGCAAACCTCTGTACCCACTGGCCTATGATCCCCCTGCATCCTGCTTCACTGCTCTGCATCATTGACTTGCAGCTACACGAGGGTGAAGAGGCTCTGGCTAGCAATGGACGCATGGACGTTGGACTGGACTGGTATGCTTTCACACCAGGTGACCTGCATCTTAATCTTAAGGTATACATTGAATATGTGTTAAGTAATTAAATAAACGGACCCTCATTGAATCCATTCCCCTACCTACATTTTGATTCTCATTTCCTATCTTTATTTGGACTCTTGTATTTTTCATACTTCTTTCATTTAAATTGATAAGGTCTTTTGTTTTCGTTTTCCTTTTTGTCTTTCAACAAAGACCCAAGAAAGCAAGTGAATCAGATACAAATGGAAACTGTAGAACCCCGAGCATCAAAGACAAAACTGGAGAAATTGGGACTGGGTGACGAGTGGATGGAGATACTACAAAAGCAGTGGACAACAGGAGAGAGAGAGAGGACCAGACTTCACTTCAAC